AAAAATTTAATTATATACCAACACATATGATACTATCTGAGCTCCCCTTCCCCATGCTATGTATAGGCTAACATGATGCATTAGTGCCTACAGTAAAACAATAATAATGGAAACATTAAAAATGATTAATATTTAATTACATTGATTTTTCAAAAAATTTACATGAAAAAATAGCACAAGAATTGCTTTGAATATGACGATCACAATTTACATGGACGCAAACAATGTTAGCGCTGCTATATGTTACTAACAACCCATCTTCTTAAAATCCCTTCTACTGCTATGGATGAAAGTAGTCCTGAAATAAACTAGACATTTTTGTTTAAACATATGTGGATACAAACAATAATGACAACAAAGATAAGGTCTAGGGAAAGTATCACAGTTTGGGACTATAGAGGTTAAGAGTTTGATATCTTAGGCTGGCATAAAGAGCATATACATGTTCGAATTCGATGCAATTAAGAAAGGATTTCAATTCATCCTCTTCAAGGAGTCGTTGGATCAATATCAAGAGCCAACTACAGTCATCTGAATCTTGATCCAGACACTATATAGGATTCAAGCTCCCTAGGAATAATGCATTTGATGTAGCCATGTGATCTAGACCATTGGACCAGATTTCAACACCAGACGATTTATGTTCCAAGTTTGTAATTTAGATTCAAAATACAAAGTCAGAATGTGAACCGTTCGTTCTTGATCCTACATACTAGATAGGCAAATATGTGATGACCTCAATGTAGGAAATCCAAATGGTATTCGGTGTTTCCCAATACATGTTCGCTTTTTTCAATCTTACTGTTGGAACATGTCCATGTCCCAATATGTTGAATTAAAAAATTTCTCAAGTCCCACATTGTTAGCATATCTTTTTGGTTGAAAAAACCATTTAGTCCCACATTGCTCATGTGAGAAATATTAACTAGCTCACTTCACTATATAAGGAGTGCACATGTTTCATTCTAAATTACACCAAAAATTATTCTATTAGTTTTTCCTTCTTCACTCTCATAATTTTGCGTCTCTCGAATTGTTGAAGCGCCATATTCTTCCCCTTTTTTCCTACTCGTTGAATTTTCCGAGTATTTTCTTGATTTTTCTTTATAGAATTATGTTAATTTCTCCTCATTTGGGTTGAGAAATTTTCAAGTATTAATTTTTTGGATTCTCTTTTGAGAATTATTTGAATTTCTCTTTGTTAGATAAATTATCATGAGTGGTCAAATGATCATTATTAAATTCTCTTTAGGGAATTATTTAAATTTCTCTTTGTTTGAGAAATTATTTCGACTAGTCTTTGTACTAGATACTACGAGTGGTATTGATATCATATTTGAATGGACATGCACCATCAGATTGTGTATTTCTAGACCGATTATCTATCATGCAAGTAGTAATCATATAATATAGAATTGGTCTATTTTATCCTAGAGGCGATGCGGTAGTTCGACTGCTTTGTATAATTTTGAGCAGTGCCGCGAAACGTCTTAAAGAGAGCGGCCTAATCTATGACTCATCCTGGTAACTTATTTGGTGGCAAATATTTCAAAATCTGAAAATAACAATTTTAAGACGTTTCAAACTTCCATGGCTACCGAAGAAATTATTGGTACTTTTGCGGATATTGTCTTTGAGAAATCATTCATGTTTGAGGAAAGTCACTTCGAACGTTGGAAACAAAAGATTAAGTTCTTAACATAGAAAAAAATTGCTAACATTCTGATCGATGACATTCTGTTACTCCTAGATCAATCAAACAAACTAGCGGTAGTAAATCTGGAGATATAGAAGGAACACTTAATAGTGTTGAAGTTGAATCTGCTGCACAGATTAAAGCAAATAATTTATAGCATAGGAAAGAAATCACCTTATAGAAAGAGAATGAAAATCTCTGTAAAATCATATTTTGAATAGACTCGCAGATGATCTGTATGATAATTACAGTTGATGTGATACTGCAAAATAAGATTGAGAGAATCAGAAAAAGAAGTATGACATAGAAGCTGAAGCAAAGAAGTATGTTGTTAGTCACTACTTCAAGTATCAAATGCAAAGATGTAAGGTCTATGGAGGCTCAATGTTACGAACTTCAAAAGATTGCTTAAAAGATCATCACAAAAGGTATGTGTTTAAATGAACAATTTCAAATTGGTTTTATTATTGACAAACCACCCCATAGTTTGAATGTTTTTAAAAAAACTTTGCTTCACCACAAAACAAAATAATTTTTGATTGAGAATCCGATTATTCGCCTTGTGTTAAAAAAAGGGAATCTTAGAGTCAATATCAAAAAGAAAAAATATTGGTTGTTTCAAACAACAAAAAGAAATTTGGTGTAGTTCTGAAGTCATTTGACAAATGATTAAAGAATCAGAACCACAATATTGTGAACCGAAATAAGAATGGGAACCCTTATATGATCCCAATAGCTACAACTAGGAAACAACCACCACCTAAAAGAAACGATGTTGGTTTCTCTTTGTTTTAACTATGGAAAATCAAGTCATATGACTAAGAAATGTAGAAGTAAACTTGAACTTGGTGTTGTCCTTAATGCACAGGTCAACCTGACTAATGGGAAATTTATTGCTATAGTCATTGAAATCAACATGGTTGATGGATATGTTGGTTGGTGGATAGACACCTGCATCTCTCGTTGTGTCTGTTATGGTCGTGTTATGTTTAAAACATACACGAATACTAAAGATAAGAAAGTGTTATTCGGAGATGGTCAGACCACGAATGTTGCTGGAATTGTAGACATGGAGCTAAATTTCAACTTCAAAAAGACTTTAATATTAAAGAACGTTATGCATGTTCCTAAGATTAGAAAGAATATTGTTTCTGGTTTTCTTTTAAATAAGACAGGGTTTAGTCAGTCTATTGGGGTAAATTTGTACGCCATTACGAAGAATGAAGTTTATATGTTTAAAATTTTTGTAAAGAATTTGAGAATGATATAATAAGAATTTGTAGTGATAGATAAATTGTATGATTCTAGTTTATTAATGATTTTTATACATGGAATTGTACATGAAACGGCTACACCATACTATCTTGCAATGAATGGTAAAGTCGAAAGAAAGAATAGAACTCTTACTGAACTTGTTGCAATTATGTTAAATTCTGGTGCTGCACCACACTGGTGGGGGGAATTTTATTGAGTGCTTGTCATGTCCTTAATAGAGTCCCTAAGTCAAAATGTAAGATCTCTCCTTATGAGATATTAAAGAAAAGACAACCAAACTTGTCTTATTTGAGAACTTTGAGCTGTTTGGCTTATGTCAGAATTCCTGATCTGAAACGAGTTAAACTCGCTAGTAGAGCATATGAATGTGTTTTCATTGGGTATGCAACAAACAGTAAAGCATATTGGTTTTATGACCTAAAGAAAAGAGTGATCATAGAATCAAATGATGTTGAATTCTATGAAGATAAATTTCCTTTCAAATTGAGAAATAATGGGGGCACACAATTGAGTCACATTCCTGTGATAAGAAGCACAAAAAGCAACGATAATGTAGAAACAGAACTTCGACGAAGTAAACGAGTAAGAGTTGCTAAAAACTATAAGCCTGATTATGCGGATTATAATGTAGAAGAAGATCCAATGAATCTTTAAGAAGTCTTGTCATCTATGGATGTTGATTTATGGCAAGAAGCTATCAATGATGAGATAAAATCTCTAGAATTTAACAAGACCTAACACTTAGTATACTTGCCTCCTGGTTGCAAATCAATTGGTTATAAATGGGTTTTAAAAAATAAACTATAACCTGATGGAACTATTGATAAATACAAGGCTCGCCTTGTAGCCAAGGGTTTTAGACTAGGAGAAAAACATAGATTTCTTCGACACATTCTCTCCAGTCACTAGAATTACATCCATTAGGGTACTTATTTCAATAGCCGCTATTTATAACTTAATAGTACACCAAATGGATGTTTTTAAAATAACTTTTTTAAACGGCGACTTAGAAGAAGAAATCTATATGTAATAACCAGAAGGGTTTGTGATCCATGGACAAGAAAACAAGGTCTATAAGTTAGATAAGTCTTTGTATGGGCTAAAACAAGCTCCAAAGCAATGGCATGTAAAGTTTGATAACTTAATGATATCGAATGGGTACAAAGTGAATGAAAGTGACAAATATGTTTATTACAAATTTGAGAATTGCATTTGCACTATCATATGTCTATATGTAGACGATCTACTCATATTTGGATCAAACATTCAGGCCATTAATGATATGAAATCATTGTTGTGCAACAACTTTGATATGAAAGACTTCGGAGAAGCGAGTGTGATTCTTGGTATCAAGATCACGAGATCCAGGCAAGGAATTTCTTTGGATCAATTACAATATGTGAAAAAGATCTTAAAAAAATATAATTGCTTTGACAGTAAACATGTGAGCACACCATATGATCCAAGCGTGAAGTTGTTTAAGAACATAGGTGAAAGTGTTAGACAAACAGAATATGCGAGCAACATTGGAAGTCTTAGGTATTCCATTGATTGTACTAATCCCTACATTGCATATGTCATGGGATTGTTGTGCAAGTTTACTAATAGACTGAGTAATGAACATTGACAAGCTATTGAGCGAGTCATATGGTACCTTAAAAGGACCATGAATCTCAGTTTATATTATCAAAGATTTCCTGTTGTACTTGAAGGATACAATGATGCAGATTGGAATACCTTATCAGATGATTCCAAAATAACTAGAGGTTATGTATTCAACATAGCTAGAGGAGTTGTATCTTGGAAATCAAAGAAACATACTATCCTGAGAATATAGCATTAGCGACTACTAGTGAAGAAGCAAGTTGATTAAGATGCTTGCTAACTGAGATTCCCTTATGGGAAAAACATATGTCAGTTGTGTTGATCCACTGTGATAATACCGCGACTATTGCGAAAATCGAGAACCGTTATTATAATGGTAAAATACGTCAAACTAGAAGAAAACACGACAATGTTAGAGATTGTT